ATTTGCGCCGGTTTCCATCATTTTGGATGACTTTTTGCAAATTAGCGGATAAAAATAAAACGAATATTACAATGGATTGCTTGGACGAGGCAATGCCATAAAAATGTATCACGCCTAAAAGGTGTCTAAAGCGTTATGTAGTGGATTAATGTTGATACAAATTAACCATCAGAAAATTGCTATATAGAATTAAATAAAGCACTGTTACGTTAAGAACAAGCGCGACCTGTGCCGCGACGAAGAAATGCTTTTTACGTATGTTTTTGTTATATTATATATTTGTTAAATATATTTATATATTTGTTAAACACTATTTAAATGAGCAAAACTGGGCTACTGGCATCCATTGGTATTTGAGAAAATATGAATTGAAAACGTTTGTGCCGTTGGCCCATATAACCCTATCTTATGGGGCTAATGATTTCATGTAAAAAAATCAGCCATTTAATGGAGCTAAAGAAAAAAATGCTGTTTTCTCTGGAAGGGTGTCGTTACGGGTAGAGAAGCTGTTGTTTTATAATCATTAACTGGCAAGTTAAACAAATTATAGATTATGATTCGTCTATGATAGGTCCATATAAAGTTTGGCTGCGTAGTATGAAAACGGCCTTTGAATGGTCCAAAGACTGGCATATCCACGAATTGCATTTTATACAAAAACAGTAACAAGTTGGAACACCGTTTTCTGCAGCCAAGTAAAGCTAATATATTTATCGTTATTCTGGTATAATTAATTATTAATAATTAAAGGTTATTATTAATATGATAAACTCAGAGCGGTGACCGTGATTATCCGCAACGTGGTGCACATGTTGACAGTATGCTTATGTCTGAACGATGTGACGAAGGCCATAAAATCGCCAAAAATCATTCAAATAGCAAGACACGCCGTTTGCAACAGCGACACGTAATACATCGAATGCAAAATTCGTTGCGATAGCTACACACATTTATCTGTCGTATACACGGCTGAAGCAACAAAAAAACTAACGAGAGAGAAAAAAAGAGAGCTTATTACAACGGTATATTACAACCGATGTTTCCATTGAGCCGCGTCAGTCGTTCAGCTTAAATAAGCGATATCTGAGCACAGCTATTTTACTACCAATGTAATAATTATCACTACGAAAAAGGCCAATCTAATAAATAGTAAATACTACAATGCACCATAATACACGCAGAACCCTATATATCTCATGAGTATCCTAATTTTTTCCGTCAAAACAAAAAAGCTAACGATATTACAGCTTGGAACACTTTAAAATTAACTTCTAATAATCTCTAATAACGAACGATAACGGCTACTTGTTACAGTTGATATAGTTATTGTAACATGTCGTAAAAAGCATTTTCTATCCTCACAAATACACATATACAAATGTTCAGTCGTGCTCTTACTTAAAATCTGTTTACGTAGTGATAAACCGCACATTCTCGAAACCGAGAGGCGTGTGGTGCCTATAGGTTCGGCTCTCGACAGATCGATCTCCCGGGCAGACCAAAACATCTAATACGATGTCACTTTTTACCTTCCGCATTTTGCTGCAACACTAAGGTAACTAAGTCTAAGTTAATGTGGGAATCTGGACAAGTTCACTTGCGAGCAAAGCCTCGCAAATGATTTATGCTGAATTAGTAGCAACTATAAAGCAGAGGCTTAGAAGAGGCGCCTATAGATCGCCCCAGCCGTTACATCAGAGTCTTAACAGCAAATGGGAAAACGAAAAAAACGCAATAACTCCAACAGCCCAAAATCTGTGCTTGAAATTCTAAATACCAATATTTTTTCAAGCATCTAGAGAACAGATGCTTGAATTTGAAAAAAAAATGTACACCCAACGTTTCGCTATGCACAACGTTGAACAATCTTCAAGTCACGAAGATTTAGTGTCAGCGTAGCTGTCTTCTAATAGAAATTTCTGAAAATGTATACTAAAGGATAAGAGTGTAGATTACGACCTTTGCGGACGATAAATGGTTGGATGGAAAACTCTAGTGAGGGGGAGTTTGAGGCAGTCAAAAGATGTTGAAAACCGCAACTGCAATATTATCTTTGATTATCGATTTCAAGATCCTACAGAGGCAATAAGCAATCGCATTACTTAGCGAACGCGACAAGAATAAATATAAATAACATTCATGCTTAAACACCTAAACCTTTTTTTCTGAACCTAACAGCATATACGTTTCTTTTTTATTGGCTACTCAGTGGGAAAAAAATTGCTAAGAGTTTAACTTGGGGCTGGAACGAGTCATCACTTTCGACACAAACATTTTTTGGTCTTCAGGAATGCCGGACAGCCCCAGGAACGCCCGCGTTTGACTTTGCAGCCACGTAACCTTCGACCTCCGTAATTTTATTTCAGGTTGCTAAATCACTACACAAACAAATACTGACCAACATTAACATGCTAGACTCGATAGGACTTGAACGTACTAGGTAGTTTTGCTAACTTCTCGCAAGGCAGTCATCAAATATTCATGGCCAATAGCGTAACACAGGCAAATATGAAACGAAGCTTAGCAGCAGCAGTTAGTTTAACCCACTAATTTTATCGAAAGGTAACATAAGTGACATTTAATTATATAAGCAATTTTTCGCAGGAGGAAGGATATATGTGTTTCATTAAATATAGCTGGATTTGGCCTTGAATGAATTTAAGTAAAAACGTCCCGAAAACAATCTGTCTCAGTTTACGACCTCGTGTTAATCTAACTAACCTTTTAATTTCGACAAGGTCATGTTTTCCAATCGAATCAGATTATGTGTTGACAATGAAACGCAAAATAGCTATTATTTTCGTTTCGTTTTCGCAAATGTCATACTGCATCGTCTGCATACTCAACGCTCACTGCACGTTACGTCGTACCGCCAGCTACTAGAGACGTTTACGATGAACTTTCGAACATAGAACTCGTATGGGGACTTGAATCGAAAACCTGTCATAACGCAGTTATTACATTTTAGTTTTATATATATTTCGTACTTTGCACAGAATGGGCCTAGAAAACCGTATCACTCTACAGTTAAGTAAAAATATAAGCTCTATTATTAGTACAATGACTTTTCTAGGAACTAGTCGAATTAACCCCATCGGAGAAAAAAATGCTTATTTCCTTCTTATTTGCTCAGAAACGACTAGATCTTGTGGACATTCTTAGGCAGCTAGCTATGCTCTTATACGCTCTTCATCTCA